TGAGTTCGTTGACCTTTTGCAGGCTGTATTTTTCAGGATTGGTAGCCAGGATTTGTTGATTTTTAGACTCTCCTTTTTTTTATTGAAACTGTGCTGGTGTTTGTGAATCTCAATGGCTTCCCGGTATAGCCTAGTATAGTGGCTGCTGGTGTTGTCCAGTATCTCTGGATATCTCAGAGATATCTTGAATTGCACCCAGAAACACAGTGGCAACCAATGCAGCTCACGAAGCAGTGGTGTTACATGTGTTGAATATCCAACACCATTTACTACCCATGTAGCTGCATTCTACACCAGTTGAAGCTTCCGAATGCTCTTCAAGGGTAGCCCCATGCAGAGTGTGTTGCAGTAATCCAGATGGGAGGTCACAAGAGCATGAGTGACTGTGAGCAGAGCCTCTCAGTCTGGGAATGGGTGCAACTGACGCACAATCCAAAGGTATTTACTATCCTGAACAGTTTAACATTATCTACAAATTTGGCCTGCTCCCTGTTTAATCCTAAATTAATTTTAAAAACATCAGTCCCAGTCCAGAACCTTGGGGGATCAATATTTTCTTCAATTGAGAAAATTGCTGATTTATTCCTACTCTTTGTTGGTTGTTTCTTCCTACCCAGTTAGTTATCCAAAAATCTTTGGTAATCTTCCCTTTTATTTGTTTGTTTGTCCTTACATGTACGTATATGCCACTTTTCTGTTTCTACTAGGGTAGCTAACAACAAATTAAAAATAATAGAAAATGTAATAATAAAATCAGCTTAATTAAAGTTTTTTAAAAGGTTCATGAAAAAGATACGTTTTTACCATTTTCCTAAATAATGTGAGAGTGGGGCCCAACTGTATTCCTTAGAGAGTCCCATGGCTTGGGAATCACACAGTAGAAGACCCATTCCCATTTACCAAATAGCAACCTTCTGACAGCACAAATATTTTCAGGAAGGTCTATAAGTATATTTAGCAGCCTTTGATGAGGAACTTTGTCAAAGTCTTTTGAAAATCCAGGCACACAATGTTGAAAGGGTATGCCAGGTGACACTATCGAAGATCTCTAGAAAGCTGATGAGTCAGTATTTCTGTTGGGGGGGAATCTGTGCTGATTTTCCATCAACAAGGCTTGTTTCTCTACACATTTACTTTTTATGTGCAACTAAAACACTTCTAAACAATTCTAAAAAATTGTTTTAAAAAATAAATTACTGGGTATACAGAAAAATCTATCACACCTCTTCATCTAGGTACTCTGTAAAAAATGCTGTATTTCCACTGTACATATTGGCATGCTGTTCTGGAATAATGTAGTGGCCTCATGTACTTTATACTGGACAGTTCTTTAATAAAACAGACAGATAATAGCATGCTGTTTGGAAGGATCCTATATTTGAAGGGCTGTTTCACTGGCAAGTAGATAGACATCTTTTTGAAGTGATCATTTATTTGAAAGGCTATTTCTTCCAAGTCCAATATGATGATAATGGGGCAGAAAAAAGAGAAAGCAACAAGGGCTTTGAAGCTGCCCATAAAGGGTTAGTAATTGGAGAGTATAGGCAGACATGCCACCTAAACATAATATTCTGGAATTTGTGTTATTTCTATTTAAAAGTCTAACAATTATTTTTAAATTGGTAGCTGCATGTATATACTAATATACATGCATATATGTATATCTATACCATATTTTTGGATGGTGTTTTTTTTTCCTTCCCTCTTTTTTAATGGTATATAAGTGGTCACTCTTCCTGACAAATGTGCAGTTTATTTTATTAGGGAGATTATGTTTAAATGGAAAGGGGGACTAAATGCTTTTCTTGTTAGTTATGTCTGTTAATCTTTACACCTTTTGTTGATTAATAAGGAGAGCTGAATATTTAGAGAGGGGTCTATAGAAAATGGGGTGAAGTATGGAATGAAGATGTATTTGGTAGTATTTTAAGAGACAGTGATAAGTTGTTAATATTGTATATTAACTGTGGATGAGGAGGGAAGTTTCTTCTTTTCTTTTTTGGGGGTGGGGAGTTT